GTCATGAATTGAGAGGGACCAAAACGATGCTAAACACTTCCCCTGAAAGTTGTAACAAAAGTCACCGATCAACTAACCGGTCTCTGAAAACACTAAAATGTCAGGGGTCGCAGTAGAGCGAATCAACTGCCCCGACACTTACTCTGATATTTTTCACAAAACAGATCTATTTCAAAAACTGCCGCAACTTGAACTGATTCGCCAACTAGCTGTATGTGGCCTAAGGATCGAGAGCGCTTTACAGAATGCCGTTATTTCTATGGTGAGATTAGCAATCCCATGACAAATGATATTCTGTTCGAAATCCTAACTGCTTCGAACCTTAGCCACGAAATCCATACTTATATTACCATGGTCCTTGCCTTTTACAAAGCCCTCCCAGCACACATGACAGCTCACAAACAGTTTATTGATGTCTTCATGTTAAAAGGCAACATATTAAAAGGCAGCAAAAGAGGAAACAACTTCATAACCGGTTGAGATCGACTAAACGAAAACCACTCGTATTCGATATATTTGGTTTAAAAATTGGTAATTGAATTGAACAACAGATTCTTCAACAAAATTAGGTAAATGACATAACAAAGAACAGTGAAAATAAAGCTAACAAAACAGCAACGTGATAACATCGTGCAAGGTTCTGAATTGGAACACAAGAACACATTGCAAATGCAATCGAGAGCACTGAAGAAGAACACCAAGAATAGTAAGCATAGTAAAAGTGGAGTGAGTTAATGAGCTAATCGATGTGCCAGAAAGTCTAAATAGTCCTTGCATTCCCTTGTTGAAGGGATGACTCCACTCGAAACATGATCACCGATAAATCTCCGCATTTCATCAGCGATTTCTCGCTGTCTCTCTTGTTCCCTTGCCCTGATGTAGGCTGGACGTGCCCCGTCTGCCGTAGGCCCTATTAGGGCCTTTCCTATGACCAGCTGAGTTTGAATAAATTGTAACATCTGTTTGAACGTGGGGGTACCTCTTGGAAAAGCCGGATCTGATTTTTGTATGGAAACCTTCTGCTATGTTAGGTGGTACGAACTCTCAGATTTAGAGAGTGGTCCCACAGGCCCTCGAACCTCCCTCCCATTCCCCAATTGCCGTGCCAGTAGGCTGAGAAGCGAAGCAGAGCTGTATGCTCAGAAGGAGTGACGAGAGGGGGCCCTGGTACGACGAGAGCTTGCGAGATCCTGTGGAATCGCGGGTGCAGAAGTGGTAACATTTGAATTCGACGGAAAAATGTCCCAATTATGGAATTCTTGTTTGCCGCTACCCTTAAGTGTAGTGCGTCTCGGTGGCGAATAATGGCTTGAGTGTAATGAAAGAAGCATCTGCAATGAAATTACTTCTAAGCTATGCATGCGACTTCGGCAATTTTTTTTTACTGTCTTACCCCTTGACTGAAATAGGCATTTCAGTGGCGGCAGCGTTCATAGCAGGTAGTTCAAAGTCGAGGAGAAACGTGCACGTAGGGGGCATCAAAGCCGCACGTTGTCCGAGATTCCCAATTAAATCCCAGAAAAAACGATACATGTGGCGGTAAGTTTCTTCCGTCCCATCCGGTATGAAAGAAAACATCAACGGGATAACTGTTCCATTATTGAACACTCCAAGAATCGAATAAAATTGGGACGAGGGTCCCCTCCTCACAACCGTGGGGATTTGTTTATAACGCCCGTCGCACTAAAAAACTTTTACCAGTCGAATGGAATGAGAAATCAAATGAATGGTAAAGCAACATACAATGCATGAGAAACAAGCACATTCAACCCATTGCGTCCACCGCTGTGTGCGCCCTCCAGTGTTTTTTGACATATGTATACTCAGGTCAACAACTTAACCGCGATTTTATAAGTATCAAGAGATAGTGACATTACCCGTGCTCAGAAATGCTTATATATGAGCTTGTGTCTCCGAAACCTGGTAATTGCATCAAGGATGACAGTTATTTTTTCATGTGGATAGGCGGTCCGCAATGGGTTGAATAAACACCTAACACGAGCTCACTGTCACAGTGTGTAGTGTCAGTCTTCCAAGAGCCGCGGCGATTAACGCTCTGCTTCCAAAATATACCCTGTCTTCCTCATCGAGCAAGATGAACGTCTCGCCATCGGCATCGCATCTGCACCAGCTGGGATCCTACAAATCAGAAACCTTTATTCTACCCATCCTTACCGCAAGCCTATGTCCACTTACAAGTTGCCCTGGAATCACACCATAATCTTGTCTTCGCCTAGCTGTCGTTTGGGCCCTTGTTAGCACACGCCGGGCATTGTCCCTGCCATTCTCGGAGGGTTGCACGACATGCTCGACCATTGCGCGCCTTTCCGGGTCGGTGAAATCTCCTGAGAAAAACCCACTACGGAATGGACTCATCGCAAAAAGTTCTTTTAGACTAGACGTTAGGTTACTTCGCAAACTTACTGAATCTGCTCGAAGAAATTCGCGACATAACTTCTGATATTTCCACTGTCCACGGTCGCAATAACTCAGTCGGACTGTCACGAATTTCGTTACAACGCTCTATAAGAAGTCGACGTGCCAATGCTCGTGGAGTGGATCGTGGTTGGCAGTAGTGGGGCTGACGCGGATTCAATGGATCAGTGACAAAGCTTCCATCTCGTATGTGTACCGTTGGAATTGGTCCAGGATGGTTAGTTCTATCAGATGTTTTGAGCGCTCTGCATGCGCAACACATGTATAGCGCTGTCTGTTGATCACTTAGCAGTTTTTGAAAGTGCCATTCATAGCAGAGCTCGTGATCGGTGGGGAATATGAATACGGCTATGCTCCTGCCGTCAGGATTTTGCGATGGAGCGAAGAGTGCGTTGATGGGAAGCTCCATTGTAATGCGGGTACAGGCCTGCAAGGTAGTCTGATCAGAACATTTAGTGTTAATCCATGAATGGATGTTATACCTTAAGATGAAAAAATCTCAACGTGTTGTCAAATTTCCTCGGCGGCTTTGGCTGCTAGAACGAGTGGGCTAACTAGAACAAGCATTTAAGTTATTGATACATGCCCTTCTTGGTTCCCCCTTCTCCATTATTACCATTTTTTTCGCCCACGCTGTAGGAGAAGGAAGAGAAAGTAACGGAAAAATAGCAGTCGCGGCTGAACTCCGCAAGGTTATGCGGATTGGATTGTACTCCCGCGCACAGGTGTGTGGATTCAGTGGAGAGTGCGCTGATGTTGCAACGTTCTTAGACCCAACACTGCAAGTTTGTGACAGCCTGCGTTAGAGCAACACAATGTTACCAAAACAAGAATACGAATGAACTTTTCTCGGTCTGGAGCGTCCTCTTCTGGACCTATCAGAACCTTACCTACCATCTCGCGTGTCTTTGGGGGTGATAAGATCATCTTTTGAGACCCTTAGGATTATCATTACCTCTCATCCAAACCCACCCCAGAACCAAACCTCAGGATAGGAAGGGGTGGGGCAAGCGATTTGAGCTGATTGATATTGTTGACACTCAAAAGATATACGGCTCATCCCTTCCCATACCCCTTCGTCTCTCCTTCCAGGAAGTCAAATACACCATTCTCCCTATGAAATTTCTCATCTGATAGGTTTCAAGCCTGATTTCATTAGCCAGGGTACTGCAACTGTTGTTTAATGGTCTACGGTCTTATGAATTAGATACTTGAGCAGAAACTTCCAAAAATTTGTAACTTGAGCATAAATTGTAAAAGGGACTTTCTAGGTCAATTCCAGAATAATCAATAATAATTTCAAAAATTGAACATGTACGAGCAAATATTGTCCAATCCCATATCGAAACTAACCTGTAATTTGTTTTGGGTCTCGCTGTTGGACACAATTGGATTTTCGACTTTGATTTCTTTACTGAGATCGATTTGGCGATACGAATAGTAGAGAATTTTGTGGTATGGATATTGATCACCAACAAACTGTAAAAGAAATTTTTTTTCCAGTCTCATGGAAACGTAAAGATTAATAATACATTGCTGAAATCCTCGACACCTTACGGAACGCTTCTGCTTCTTGAGAACAATTTAGCAATAGTTGCAGTAGACCAGTTCTACGATGTTATAGATGATTCTAGAACTGCGAATGTTGCCAGCATGTATCTGAAAGTTTCAAGTTTGGAAAGAGACGGAACTAGGACCAAAAGTCTATTCATTTTTATATGATGCGCCACATATTCCACCTCCACTTAATTCGTGGTGACATTCGAATAAAGCCGGGTGACCTTGAGTGAGATAAGGAAATGACTTCGTATAACTGCGCAGAGATAGTATGATAAAAATATTGCGAACGATTTAGTTCAAAGGTATAACAGGCGCAGAATCATCGCACCTGTTCTTAACGAGCAAGCAGATAACATACCACAACGATCACTTGAAAAAAGGGAACATACCGTTTTCGATTTGGGATTTACCAAGGGCGCCGCATTCCTGGCTCTTCTGCGGTTATCAGTCTGAAATGAGTGCCATTCAGAAGTTGGTATATGGCCACGTTCATAGTTCGTGACCCCAAAAATTAGGATACTGTGTGACGATGAAAAAGATAAGCACTGAAAGAGAGAATAGGATAAGAGCGGTAGAATAGTATGAGAGTAGGATGTTGCGCTGACAAGATTAGATACGTATCGATTGAAATCGCTGGAGAGTAGTAGATTGGTTTCTTCAAGCGAATCAGTACGTATCTAATCTATCAGCGCACTATCCTACTCTCATACTATCCTAATCTCCCTGCCGATACATATCGTTATCATTGTCGGTAATATCCTGACCTGCGGACTTCCAAACTATGAATGCGGTTAGATAAAAAGTTCATGCATCTCGTAACAAAACTAGCCGCTAAACACGCGAAAAACCTCTGGGCGGCAAGCAATGGACCTTCGTATCAAATGGATCAGTATTGTCTTAAGGCCGCCTTCATAGTTTACTACTCTGGAGATTAAGATAGTACGCGATAGGGACCTATGTGTTGACGGGGAAATAGGGTAGGGGTCTATTCCAGTTAGGGGGAGGGCATCATGATGCAGTTTCTCGACGAACTAGTGTGAACTCGAACATTCCAGCTTTTCACGCATGTCAAGTGACTGCCCTCACCCCCACCCCCTAGACTGGCTACACTCCCCCTGGCTCGGAGTTACCCAGCTTTCTAGAAAACTGCATCATGATTCCCGCCTACCTGTAATAGACCCTCAGATAGTAGAAGATAGGATATAGTAAGAGACTAGGTCAGTGTCTGACAAGATTGTATACTTCTGACAATCGTTAGGCCCTGTTCAGAGATGTCCGCCGGCGCGAAAAAACGCACAGGCGAAAATCTCCGCCAAGATTTAGATACGCATCGACTGAGAAATTGTGAAACGCGTAAGCGAAACGTCCGGAGCAGGCGAATTTCAGTCAAGAGTTTGATATGTATCGACTGTGAGAAACGCACAGGCGGAAAATCGCGTGAGCGAAGCGTTCGTAAGTCGATGCGTATGATACTCATTTTCGTCGATCCTCCCACTTCACGATTCGCCTGTGCGTCTTCGTTCAGTCGATACATATTTCACATTGTTTCGCCTATGCGTTTTTTCGCGCAAGCGGACATCTCTGAACAGGGCCTTATTTGTTAATGATCGGCGATTCCAATCTATACGTTTCTAATAATTGCAGCGCAATATCCTACTCTACGACTACCATATCTGCCACTTTCTATTCTGATCTCCCTAGCTGTGAACTATGAGCGCGGCCAAACAGTGCAAATTCGCGCTCACACCTTCTCCCGTGTGGATTCAGGCGAAACCTACAGACTGATGAAAATAACACTTCCAATACGACGCAAACAGAAAACAAAACAACAAGCGAAATGAGAGCAGAAAATGGAAGCAACTATGGGACAGAGAGCTGATCGGAATGGAATGGATCGAACTTCAAATGTTGGCGCCCTTTCTCGGCGCGAAACGCTTAACGTGATTTCTCCTGACAGCTACAGTGGAGAACCCAGACGACAAGCGTACACGCCCCTTCCCCGCAGGCTGGGACTCTCTCGCCAGACCGTATGTTCGTCTGGACTCTACCCTCGAGAGAAATCCTGGTTGACAGAAGCCTTGTAACCCATTTAATACTCGCACACCTGTTGCTCTCTCACCTAAGCAGCGGCGGCATGCCTACTGGGATCTGATCTGACGCTCATCTTTGCCACAATTAATGCGTTCAAGTGTCTAACGATCACAGTATCAATGCGCCGCTGCTTTAGGTGAGAGAGCATCAAGGTGGCGAGTATTAAATCGAGGTGGTTTAAAGGACTGAGTCCAAGTTGACCGTGGACTTACCGTAACGCCGCACGCTTCGTGACGGGACCACGGTACCGTGTCGCTTGTCGTCGCACCCAAGTGCGTGGTTACAAGGCTTCTGTCAACCAGGGGGTGAGAGTGTAGAAGGAAAAGCAGACGTTCTTTGTGGTAGTGGGACTAAGCCTTTTAAGGAGGTAAAGAAAGCGGAGATTCTGTAATAGTGCGCTTGTGTGAGAGCTCCCAGACAGCACAACAAAACGCTGAATTGCCTAGCCTCACGGTTGACAGATGTCCGGAGCAGGGTCAACCCTATCGTTGTTACTCTTTGGAAATTTTTTTACGCCCCCCCCCCCTTCATGGGTGATTTGATACGACCCCCCTTGTATGTGACACTTGTGTAGAGACAGTGTTTACCATCAATATTTATTTGAAACTTTAGCAAAATCCACGACAGATATTCATCGCTGCTTCCAAACACGAAAAAATGAGATGCATTCAAAGATATCCGTGTACTCCAAAGGGTTACCAAACTAGGAGATGAAATAAACTGAACCAGTGACCGGAATATTGACAATATTACCTGATAAAAACTTATGAGAAGTCAGAAAAAATTATCGCTCCAATTGAAATACTGAAATCCTTCACGTTCTTCAATTGCAACACAATTTTTACACCCCTCTTTCTAAGGCTATAACTTCCTTCATATTCGAGCTTCTGCGCCGAAGTGATTTGATTTTGGAAAATTCAAATTATTCTCTCTCCAACCATGGGTAAAAATTCTTCGAAAGTTAATTTAGTAAAAATTTTGTACGTTGTTACTTTTTTCTGTGCAAAGGCGACTTTTTGACCTTCAAAAGATCATAACTTCCTTCAAAGTCATTCATTTGAGAAGCTATTTGTAGTCAATGTTCGAAGCTCTATCGAAGTATATGGGTTTCCATTCAAAGTTCCATGGGACGCTGAATGCCTTCCCTGGTTAGGGGAAAAGGGAGCCGATGGCAGATGACACTAAGACTGAGCTCAGGACAGCGGGGGAGAACGCCAGGAGGAACATAAGTTGCTCACATCCCCTACCAGAATCCATCCCCCTCTCTGAGGCTTAAAACAAAGCTTAGTGAACGTCCTCACCCCCCCCCCCCCCCCTTCCAGGATATGAGCGCCTGATCACTATGTTAATTCTCATCTTTTCTTACTGAAGTTTCCTTACGAACATCGCTATGCTGAAATCTCCACACATTGGAAAGTAATTCAAATCGCATAATCTTGCGGATCTCATCCTCCATAAGCACTTAGAGGGTTGAATTCCCACTGCAAAAGCCCGCGAAGGCTTGCCCCATAAGATCTTTGGGCGCCAGCTTATCGTTACTTCAGCAGTGCGCGACGTGTCGCGTCCTTCAGGGCCAAGCGACGAATTCGTGTGCCAGGAGGAATGTAGGCGGTTCAGGGGGGGGAAGTTTGGCGATTCATTTGACATGTATGAAAAGCTGGAATGTGCAGTTACCATACACCACTGTTGCACTGGTAGCGACTTGTATCCAGGCTTGATCCTGCTAAAAGACATACGGATTGGCCCGAAGTGAGGAATAAACCCAGGGATGACGTGGTCCAGTACAATAGCACATAATTAGATTGACCCTGCCTACAGTAGCAATGAAGCCAAGCGAAGCCGTTCTGCAGCTGCGCGTAGCCAAAAACGTGGCGAGAGGTTAACTTCTCTGGACAGTTCTCCAAAAAAGGCCAATTCAAGATGGAACATCTTCGGTTTACAACAGATCTCAATAATTACCCTCTCTGTCAGTCTCCACGGGAAGAGGGTGTGAGACGACTAGGCAATCCCTACTTCAGGCGCGCAGAACATACAGTAGTGGTCGAAAGTTTGGCAGCTTTTTCCATTTTTGACCCAGCACGGCCAGTGAAAAGCGAGATTGCCTCAAACCAAAGAGCGGATACAAAATCAGTAGAGGATACAGTGTGCAAAATGATTCTTGAAATCGGGCGCGTCAACGTCAAAAGTACGGAACCACCATGTTCGCATGTTTTTGTTCTTCTGGATTGATTACTGGGTGTACGTAATTTTCAAACAGATTCATTTAAAGAAGAAAAATGACTAAGAAGCCTGTCCAAATTTCGCAGTCCGGACAGAATGAAGGTAAGCATTTTGTAAATGATTCCTAACAAACGAGAACTCCACAACAGGAATTTCAAAAGTGGTATCATCCCCTTAGCATTCGCAACCAAAAAAAACAATTCTCGAGTTTTCTTCCGGTCGCGAAAGTCGAAGTGCTGCTCAGCATCGGCCGCGATCAGGCGAGTACTTGGGAAGATGCCCCACTAGAAACCTTTGCTGAGCTTTTTGCTGAGCTTTAGGAAGGAGGGCTCGACTGAATTCCGCACTTTAGAGGCTCGCCCGCATCAAAGGTAAGAGGTAAAATTTCTGCTTAGCAGCGTGTCGGATTTCCTCGATGGAGATGAATATGTGAACTTTTTGCCGAAGGAAAACCTTATCTAGTTTAATAAGTCAGAAAGAATGGAAGTAGTGTTACGGATGAGGGTACCACTAGAGGCGTTTTACACTTTCTGACCCTGTTGGGCATCACCAATGAGCTAACTTTTCACCAGTTCACCCTCGTGTGCGCAAAAGGTCTAGCACAATTCTACAGGAGGTGACTTTCACACTGTACGAAATCCAATTCCAATCAGTGAGCTCGTTCTGTGCTTACCATTGACTGGAAAGTCGATGGTCCCGAGGTTTCAGCTCCTGTGCGCTATTACGGCGAGCCAGGTACTTGTGTGCATATCCGGATATGAGTGCACCACTTGTGCTGTCATCTCAAGTGGCCAATGACAAATAGGACCACAAAACTGGAAGGGATTCTCATAACCTCACGTGAATCCTCTCTCGCCCAATTAAAGGAGAACTTATACAAGTTGCAAGCTAAATATCTTAATGAGGTTATGGTGGAGAAGACCACTAGTTATACTTTGGCGATAAGGCAGGCTTACTAGGTGTTCGCGAAAGAGACGAAAAACACAGGTTCTAAAGTCAACGAATCAACTTGCTCATAAGAGTAGCGATGCCGACCATAAACGTAGCTGAACAGAGGAAATTTTTCCTTTGAATGGCTACGATGTGTTGGGGACAGCTGCCGGCTGATTTCGATATCCACAATATTTCACTGATATGTTTTGAGCGAGTATTTCTCTCTTCTTTTGCGGATTTCCACAAGCAGCCATCGTCACAAACATTCCATTTACCGTTTTGATCCACACCATCACTTTTCTGCTTCATAGAATTGCCACCCTTTCTGTAGCACTGTGCTACCGAGCCGGCGTTGTCGGCGAGGTAAGCGTTTAGCAGCCTTTTGTTATTGCTCACCTAACAGTGCTTGCACTGGCCACGCGGATATTGTATAGTTCCTTGGCACGGATTATTGATTATTGTCCTAAAAAAGCAGACAATTAGCTCATATTTGTTGAAGTTAATATCCAAATGCGAACGATGCTTAGAGTCCTTCGAGTCGGTAGAATATATGTGATTCCAAGCCGAAAAAGGTGCCGAAACTATTGCGAATAACTGGTGGAGGATCTGTAAAATGGCTGTTTTAGAATAGGTAAACTGGGAGTAGGTCTAATCAAGGGTACCTAATATTGATGGAGAGTATTGCGGTCCTTGAGGAGACAAACAGAGCCAGGAGCCAGAGAGGCGAAGCCAGAAGTAGGCCCAGTGAGTCATCTGGGGTTCCTTATATACAGTGCCCACGGTCACAATCTGCAGCTGTGACTTCAAAAAGTCATCTCCCCACGGCAGCTGGCAATCGAAAAACATATTCTGAAAGCATTCTGAGAACGTTCTAATGGTAACGAATTCTAAAGTAATTATTCGTAATGCTTATAATGTTTTCTAGCCATATATATATACAAAGTAGCGTATAGCTACACAGCGTCCTGTGAAGCCTAACAGCAAGGTCACACTGAGGTAGGTTGGAGATGTTGTGAAGGCTTCTTTGCATTCATACCAGCCCCAAAATTGGAAAGAGCAGCTCACAGTGGCCATTATTATGGTGAGGTCCCCCTTCCCTTAGCACCTACACTTTTCGTTTTTTTTTGCGAAGAAAATTCAAATAAATCAAGCCCTAAAAGCAATTATTGTGCTCAACATGGCTCTGCCTGACAGCAGTTGCAGATGTGACATGTCTCGAACTCCGGAGTAGGCCCCTGCGAAGATCTTCGCATGGCGCTGTTTTAGGCTGTGACTCCAGCGTTGTGTGTAGTCGAAGGGAACGTACTGCGCCAGCACAGACTTTGATCATTCCTTGTTTACCTTTCAATGTCTATTAATAATATAGCTGCACTTGTCTGACGTCACTGCGCTTTTAAAAGTTTTAACCTGTTTTCTCATCAATTAGACAGAATGAATGATAGTTATAAATTTGTACCTAACAAACACAAGAGCCATCCCGGTAGGTGATTTCATGAAACTGAATGTTTTGAAGCGCATAGACCTGCAATTTCTTCATATGAACCAAACAAAGCCCCTGATGTCGCAGCTTGGAAAACAGCCTTATGCGCTTTCAACAACATGGTCAGTACGATCTCCTGAGTCTTCTATCCACCATTCGTTTACTCCTAAAAATAGATGTCCTTTGAAAACCTACTCGCAAACTCTTCGATTGTGAAGATCAATTTTAAACGTGATTTATTAAGTGGTTGAGCTTTTCTAGGTCGGCCTCAGGCGAGCCTTCACCAGCGACCGCACATGATCTCGTGGTACCTAGTTATTTGGGGCGAAAAACCGCCGGATAATCCACAGGTACATAGTTTGGGAATCTACGGAATAAAGAGATCGTTGAAGGAGGGGGGGGTATAATGCTTTGTACTTAAGAGAGAGGCTTTTTAGAGCTTGTATACTTTCTGCTAGCTGCATATGTTGGTATTTACACACGGGAAAGTGGCAGTAGACGTGGCCCTGGAGAGGGGATTCTCCATCGGTGTACTCCTTCGGGTGCAAGACACCGTTTCAAGGAATGGTTTTGCGTCCCGAAAGACCTCAACTGCGCCTGTGGGTTGACCTCATATCTTCATTGACCACTTCACCTAGCCGACACCTCTAGTAGAGCAGGACTTTGACTGGCAAGTGCATAGTAAGAGAGTGGGTTAAAAAGATGGTCAACAGTGACGTGGTTCAATCGTTGGTGCAAACAAAAGATAATTAATCGGTCGTGGGTCGTGGCTATTTCCTCCCTTGGTTGAATTACGCGTGACCAGTGCGTCCATATATAGCGCTGTTTAAATACAGGGGCAATAAAAAGGCTACTTTTGTCTGTGCATTCAGAACAACAACAACCAGAGCTTTCTAAATTGGAACTGAACGCTTCCAACCAAAAATTGAAGTGCATATATTGCTTCACAGAAAGACTTCAATAAAAAGCCTTTTAGACAGAGCTGCAGAAAGATCCACTAACGGAAACTAGTGCCGATTGAGCTCTACGGGGCCTTGGAGGATCGTGGATATTATGGCCTTACCAGAAACACTGGTTGGAAGAGGTCTCCCATAGTCGGAGCTACCAGCTTTTGAAAACTATCCACCAGTGGATGACTTCAAAAAATTGTGTAGAGGCACGTAGGCCTTGTTGAGCTTAGCGACGACGAGAGAAGAATTCATATTTTCAGAAAGACGAGGGCAGTTACGGAGGACTTGCTTGTACTTATAAGGGGACATATCAGAAACATTTTGCCAAGGGGCTTTCGTCAACGGCAGCATTACATATGCATGCAACCAAAAAAATGAGAGTGGCATGAGCAAAATGTTCCTTTTTGCTCCCCTCCCGTAACGTGAATATTCCGAAAATGTCCACGACATTATTTTCAAACCGGCCGCGGCGGCGAATACGAAAATGCAGGGCTTTTTCTAAAACGCAACAACAACAGTCAAAAACTTCTGGTTTAAACCTGCATCGAATCATAAAAAAAAGTTTCTACCTGTAAATTCCTTCGTTTTAATTTGAGGCTCCGACGGTGGTGCCGTGGTTAAGAATGATTGCAAAAAGCCCAACAACTTGCAATAAACATCTCACCTCGACATTAACAACTTGTTTTGGCATTGCTTTGCTGTTTTTTGGTAAAGGCTTCCGCGCGGGTTCTCCCACTGCGACATCGAAGGCGACGTTCATGACGTCATGATTTTATTTCTCATGAATTATTTCGTAGCATTGGTTATGACTAACTAAAGCGTCAACTCTCAGTGCTCGCAGAGCAGTTTCTACCAAGCGAATTTGCATGATTTGTTGGATTGTGGAAAAACTAGGTCAGGATTGGTGTGGGGAGAGAAAAGTGCAGGCGAGATCGGACGCGTCAGTGCAACCGAATGACGGACCGGATTGACAAGGACCGCTCCGATACCATCGATCGGGTAGGGTTTTCGCCTGCGGGGAGCCTTCGAAACCGTGGCTGCTTCATCACACTTACACTCGTGGAGGAAGCCTTTCCACCCCCACTTCCTTCTCTATCAACTACGCCAACGGGAATTGATAGAGGGGGCGTCGCCGGTGGGCGGACTGAGACCGCGACGTGTCTCCTTGCGTTGAATGGTCGTCGCCTGACGACCGCAATGTCCCTATTACGCTGTACTACGCTCCTCCTCGTCGTGGTCGCCGTCGCCCTACCACCCTGTATTCTCGGCTACTCCCTCCATGATGGTAGTCGGCTTGACGACTTTCTCGCCGAAACCGCAGCAGATCGTCGGCCACGACGCCCCACCACAGCCGCCCAGCGGCGGCTAATGGGTCTCACCTGAGGAGCAGTACAAAACTGTGCACTTCTACCTGAATAAACTCAAAGAGCTTGGCAATCAGCGACATCCCGAAAGCTACGATAAGGTATAACGATTTTGAATCGATAAATATTGCAATTGATGCGATGGAGAGAGTGACAGCGTAATTTGCCGAATGACCGGTTAAACTGCAGCGGGACTGTCGACTGGTTACAAGTTGTTCACCATTGATTGGGTGATGCTTTAGTGCTTTATCGTTTCGTCTGAAGACAATAAAAAAAAAAACAATTTTATCATACAAGCTAAATTTGTCGTGGTTAACGTCGTTCACTTCTTTCATTCTTGTAATGGTGTTGAATGTCGCCGAACAAGGCTTCGGAAGAAGGCCCAGATTAACCGCTTTTTTCTGTCTAACAAGCCCGATGTCAGCCTACCAGACCGGGCGCTGGTTACGCAAAGACTGCATTCAGACTGCTGCATGGCTGCGTTCTTCCACACTCAACTGAATTTTATTCCTTGAATGGCTGGCCTTACGGTCTTATTTGTTTTTCGCTTCCTTTTAGTCAGCGGTCGTTATCACGCGCTGCTCTGATCCATCTTCTTTCGTTTTCACTTCGCGTCCTTGCGATGAATGGTACGGTTTTTCGTGCCCGACAAAGGCACTGGTATGGATGTGAGATAGTCCAGACATCAAGACTCCATCGATTTTGGTCGCCCTCTTCCTTCGTTCTTGATCGGGACTCGCAACCGAGAGGTGCTGCCATTTCACACCTCATCGCCCTCACTCCTCCCTCTGAGGTGACCTAGGTTAATTAGTTTTGCTGGCGCTGACCTCTCATTATCAGTTCAAACATTAGTGAACGAAGATCGAACTGATCAGTGTGGACTTATGGGAGGGTCAAGTGTCAAGCTCACGAATTCAAAAGTAACACCGAAAAGGGTAGGCTCGACGCTATGCTAACAACATTACAAAATTGGATGCTTCAGGCTCAAAAATGTAGCTGTGCCATGCCATACGACAGCTTGACTAGTACAGATAAGCATGAAAGCTTCCAGAATTTCGGGCGCTCGTGAGACTTGTTGTTCCATTTCTTCTGAGCTACTACTTGGAAACGCTCAGCTTCCAACCCACCTGCTCGATTCGCAAGGCGATCGCTTTTAAAGAATGAAAGCAGCTTGAGGCATTGCATTTGTGTTTGTGTTGCTTAGCATGACTTCATACTTTCGCTGTAGCAGTCTTTTTAGGACTGTTACTTTTGCTCCGATCGGAGCGAACTATTCACCAACCACCTCCTCCCCCCCGCTTCTCCATTCTGCAGAAATTTTCTATTTATTCTGTTTATAACGTCACGCCGCCTTCGTCTGGCAATATATGTGTTTTTTGACTTTTCAGTTCGTTATTTAATAAACAGCCTTGGATTTTGAGCCTTTCAGAGAGATTACTGTGTCATGTTTCGGAGCTGAGCCCGCTCTTATGTTTGGATTGAACATGACCTCTGCTTGTTTCTGATCTGTGCTGCTTCATCTTTGTCTGTTTCTGTCATCTTTTCATGTCATTTTTGACTTTCGCTGCTCCGTTCTCCAGTGACGCAAGTTTAATTCGGTACCCGATATTCTGCTTAGGCTGAGTCAGTTGGTAGTTTTTGGAAGGAATCACTTCCCATTCTT